TGAACCTTGCTGCTTGATATTCCTGAAGTAGGTACAGCAGTATCTGTCCTATATGGCATTAGATGTCCAGATACCTACAAGCTACTTTAAGAAAAAGCTGTAGAAATAATAAACTTTCCAAATAAACTTTCTAACTAAAGAGGAGTACAGCTATACAGGAACACTTGTCGCTATGCCAGTCGCTGACCCGACCAAAGCCAACACACTGTACATGGTTCGTCAGGATCCCAATTAGAAGAGGTTACTCCCTCAGAAAGCAAGTTCCATCCTTTGCTGTCCCATGACTTCTACCATCCTCACTGCTCACTGTCTCTGCTTAGGGAAACTAATATCCAGACAAGGCATCTGAATCCAAGGATAACAAATGCAGTCAAAGAACTTGTTACTATCAGAGGCAGGTAAGCCAAGATTGTCACAGCTTGACCACATACGTTGTTTGAAACATGCAAATGATTAAACAGAAACGTGTTGATGTAAAGAAGGAGTTAGGAACAAGCAATCAGGGAGAAAGGGCTTCTAAGAGACTGTTTTGAAGTTGTTACAAATCTAAGGCCCTATGGAATTAGATGACTGGACTCACGTACACATCTTTGAAACAAGAGACAATGACAAGTGCTGTACTGAGAAAGGCAAACAAAGTTTGTTCAACTATCAGACCTCAGTGCTGGTATTAGAATATATCTGATTCATTTTTCAGAGTTGTCCCACAGCCTCCCTTTAGCTCTAATTTCATGTCAGATACAGCCAGCCCACATGAGTCACTTCTCAGATACAACTGGCAGGTCACAGCCAGCTAAGAGCTCTTTGGGTTCACAACAGGGAGAGAAAACATGACTGCAGATAAGGAGCTGAGGAGCTCAGTGACACACTGCCTAGCCACAGCCTCAGACCAGAGAAGTCTCTTCTGTCACATGAGCCTCCTGACTGGGTACCCACACCCCATCCTCCCACCCTGATGCCTGTGGTCTCAGCTATGTAAGGAAGAATAGGAAATGTTTGAGCAAGGCACCTCTGGGGTCGAGTGAGCCAACTAATTGTACAGCAACATGATATAGCTGCTGAAAGCAACAGGAAGCAGGAGAACTGATAGTATCTGACTGGAACTGCAGAAGAGTATGGAGAACAGTAATCCTACCGCCAGGAGTCCTGGCCAGGACCCTGGGGAAAACAGATCTTTGTTTGCTAAAGCTACCAAGCAACCCTCACACCTGCAAGTAACCAGCAAATAGTTTGAGGGGGCTGCTCTTGTAATGCCAATGTATCAATACGCTGACGCCTTTAAGTGTCCATTCTACCAGCTGTACCCCTATCATGAGAAATGGATTTCTTTCACAAAGGAGGTAAGGAACGAGAAAAGGTTATAATCACAACAGGGAGAACTTGGGACAGGTTGATTCTAAAAATACAGTCAAGGAGGTAAGATCTAAAATGGTAAGTTTGTACCCCCAAAGGTGAGAAAGAAGTGAGGAAACCAGTGCTAGAGTTGTAAATGGGGCAACAGAAGACTGAAGACAAATCTGTCATTTAATTCAGGGGTGTGTTACAGCCCAGACTCTACTTTTAGAGTGAAAACATTGTCTGAATTGAGAGCACTTAAGGAGGACATGACACAGGCAAAGAGGGTGCTGAGCCATGCCTCTCTAGAAGCCAACAGTACTTTTCCTTCCAGGCTTCTTCTAGGAAGTAGAAATCCACAGTGAACTCCATGTTTATGGGTCTTTCTTTCCTGACACGAAATCTCAGGGAAGCTCTGCAAACTATAAAGGTATCTTCCGTAAGAAAATAAAACCCAGTCTTGGATCTTAGTGTTAACCCTTGGCAACTTTAGCAAACATGCTGAGAAAGAGAGGAAGGATGCAGATCCCAACCGAAGTGGAAATAAAACAGGCATAGGTTAAAACGCAGAACCTGGAATTGAGTTTAATGGAGCAGTGACAGGTTGCAGCTCTAAAGTACAGGGGAATCAGGCTGTGGAAAAGAGGCTGGACATGTTATTTTCATGGAAAAGGAGAGGTTTTAGGTAAGAATGATGTTGAAACAGAAGGCATTCATATAGAGTGGAGATGATTGGTTTGGTTTTTGTTTCCCCCCTTTAAGGGAGTGGGCAGCTGAGACCTGCACAGACTGTTTAGCATTCAGGAAGTGCTCTTCCCACCCTGGTTTCTACATATCCCCTGGTGACAGTTACTTAAGCCTGACTCCAAAAGCCTGCATGAACTTCAACTAGGCCGTGGGTGGAGATTTTTCCATATGGGGTGCAAAAATCTTTAGAGGCCAAATTCTGTCCTTGACAGTTAACTTCTGTGCAGCCCCAATGCTTTGGTGAAAAAGCACTGTCACAGTGAACAGATGCTCACAGCCCCAGATCATCAGCTCTCATTACTTTATATAGCACCTAAGTGTCCACAGACAGGAAGGATGCTGGGTACCAGCAGAACCAAACCTTCTCAAACCAAGGAAAAGAGCACATTGTATAGCTAAGTTAACCACAAAGAAAATAAACAGAAAAAAATGACAGCTAATACTTATCTAGACAAAAAGACGTTGTGTAGATGGCTTTGGAATAGCTCCTTTAAGTAATTTTCAAGCTTAAGCATGTATCCCAATATTTAGGTGTGATTTCTGATCAACCTTACTAGTTATAAAAGAGTGTGCTTTACTATATTTTACATATACGTAATTAATCTTATGCTTAATTGCAAAAAGAAACAACTATTTTTGCTTACCTTTTCTGCCTGTCTGTCAGAGAAAAGGATGAAAATACACAACATGTTTTAAACCCTTTTCAGCTCCTAAACAACAGAAATACATTGCAGTATTACTGATTACACTGATCACATATACTGTTAGAAAAGTCTGGATCTGACTGCAACTTTTAACTCAAAGAAGATTCTGCTCTAACAATCCCTTTGAAGTCAATGGGATTGCTGGATTATTAAGGACTGTGCAAATAAATTACAGTTTGTAGGAGTGAGGCTGTTCTCTCAGGACTTTTGTCAACAACCTACAATCATTATGGCCGTGCGTATTATTCTAGCAAAGAGTCAGTATCAGGCTAAAGAACCCGTTTACTGGAAAAAAGGCACTTTATCACATGTGATCAGCTGAAGTAGAAACCACGTCTGTTCCTTTGCAAATTTGATTTCTGCTCCCCAATTGCCACTTTCACACACAGACACTACATCCAATTCAGTGTGCAAGCTAGTTGACAAAACAAATCTCAGTAACTGGAATAAACCTCCCTCCCTTATACTGCCTGATATTGAAAACTTGATTTGAACTGCCTTTCCTTCCACATTTTGTATCTGCTGCTGGGATAGCTAAGTAGACAGACACCCTGACTGAGCCGCTGATGCTCTCAGGCTCGCTGCCTCACCTAACTTTGTCCACACGCACCAGGGACAAGTGATTACTAAAGACGGCTTTGGGATGCCCGTTACCCTGGTGGCTTTTCAGGTCCCGCTTTGCTCCTGCAGGTCCCGGCTGGGAGCACTGTGGCTGTGGCCGGACCGGCATGGGTAGCCGGAGGTCACTCCGCCAAACAGCCAGCCCCAAGCTGACGGCCACTTGGGCACCCGGCAGGTTACTACTCACCATGACAGCAAAGACGAAGGCGACGATGTTGACGGGATAGGCGGGACAGAAGCAGGAGAGGATGCTGAGGAGCAGGTAGTTCTTGGGCCGCGGCTGTGGTGGCTCGTCGGGCAGCTCATCCTCGATGTTGGTCTCGGGGCTGTTTTCCAGAGCCCTCTTGATGTCGGCACCGGCGGGGAGCGCAGACATGGGGCTGCGGTGCGGCGGGCGGGCGGCTCGAAAAGCCCAGCGCCGCGCTCCGGGCAGGCGAGCCCC